GTCTGGGTCAACGGGACGTAAATTCCTGCTGTGTTTGTCATTGGTAAACATTACTTTACTCGATAGTAACATCATTTCAATCACAGTGTTATCACCTTCTACTGTGTATTTCATAGCCGAGATGTTTTCTTGCTATCTCATGCTTGTAAGAAATGGTGTTCCTGGTCTCCATTTTGTGAAAAGGTGAGATGAAAATGCTTCTCATTTCTCTCAGTTCCTTTGCAACAGCCTGCTATTTAACAGCTGTGAAGAGTAAATGTATTCATTTTGGGAAGACACCCATTTTATGTAACATTTTGTTGTCATTAACTTTTTTGTCAGAAAAGATCTCTGTAGAAAACTAATGCAGGGGGGATGAGCAGATGGTATAATGGTTACATTGCTGGACTCCTACATAGTTGACTGTGGTTCAAGGCCTGGACCTGGTGGCTTAAAACTCATTAGTGGCCTGGACCTGGTGGCTTAAAACTCATTAGTTCACTGTGGTTTGAGTCTTGGACCCGGCGGCTTAAAACTCACTCCAGGTGCTTGCGTGTGTGCCCCCAAAAACCTGAGGGGAAGATGGAGGAGGAGTGATTGTGGCATGGCCATATTCCCTGGGGGGTGATTTCTTGCTCTCCATCTCTCTGTCTTTCTCTGTCTCTCTGGCAAGTGTACACATCCTGTGGCAAAAATCTCTCTTAAAAAAAAGAAAGAAAGAAAGAAAGGAAGAAAGAAAGAGAACTAAGGCATGTTTATGTAAATAAGCCAGCTTTTTCTGATCTGTACCATGTCTGAGTCAGGGAATATAGTGCATTATGTCTAGCTTCTTTGTGACAAATTTTATTCAAGGGGTATAGCTTTTCCCTTCAATTATTATTATTTTTAAAGTTTATTTATTTCTTCCATGGTACAGAGAGACAGCCACCTCCCAGCCTGATCCAACCCTATGTGGGTTCACATCCCAGGACCTCCCTGTTGTGGGTCCAGTTGCATTTACCACTGAGCCACTACCTGGCCCTCTTCCATTATTTGTAAGACAGCAATGTCATAGCAAAGCAAATGAATTTTAAAGTGGCCAGAGCTATATTACGAACTATTTTGATATGCTTATAATATATTGTGACACATAAGGCATTTTTTATAAACGGTAAGAACAGGAGAAAATTTCTTTTTTTAAGGAGGTTTTTGCTGTAGGGCGCATGAGCTCGCCAGAAAGACAGAGAGAGACAGAGAAACAGAAAGTGAGAAATCACTGCCCAGGGAGGATTGCCACACAGCAGTCCCTTCTCCATTTTCCTCTCGGGATCTTGGGCATGTATGCACATGCACCTGGCGTGAGTTTAAGCCGCCAGGTCCAGAATTCGAACCGCGGTCGGCTACATGGGAGTCCAGCAACATAGCCATTATGCTAACTGCTGGTCCCGACAGGAGAAGATTTTTTACAAAAGTGAAGAATGATCTGCTCTTGGCCCCAAACTGGTCTGATTTAAAGACAAGTACTTGTAGAAGACCCAAAACTATCAAGTGTGATTAAATTATGCATGGCCCCAATGCATGATTCCATATATGATCTGATTTCAGTCTGTAATAGTTGTATTTTGTATATTCTTCATTTATTGGGATGATTCGATGTTATAACTGGGTACTGACAGTGTGAATTGTAATCTTCTGAAAAAGAATCTTAATTCATTAATACCAGTGAAACTAAATTGTGAAATTATGAACTCCTGTGGATAACTCTTTAAAGACTTCCTTTTTTTTTTAATAAGCATGGATTTATATGTTACTTCCCATATAGGGTTTCATCAAAAAAGTCATAACTCATTTTCCATTAAAAAAAAAATTATGACTTTTCCAATGACCCAGCAGATTTTACTTGGAGGCTGGGCCTCTGTTTAGACTTGTATTCCCAGCGAAACCTATCACAGCATGCTGCACACAATAGGTGCTTAACAAATACCTGCTTATTTGGCTTGCGTTAATAATTTTCCCCAGGTCTTAAATTTTTCCCCCCTCACATTAAAAGGATGTTTAAAAATAAAGCTAGGACTATTTATTATCATTAAAGTATTAAGATTATTTATAACAATAGAGCTTTTGTTTTACTATTTCAGTGCACATTAGGTTTTATTGTTCTTCTTGGTAAAATGTTATTTACCTGGAACTAAAAGCCTTGGATTTTATCTTAGCCCAAGAATGTGTGTTTAGCAGCAAATGTAATTAGGGGAAATACTTAAGGGATTGTCAATGCAATGTTCTTTTAGCTCTTAAGCAATCCATATCCTGCTAATATGTTTATCTTTTTTCTTCCCTTCTGGCCGCTATTCCAGGTCCCTTATTTCGCGTGAGTCTCTGGCGTCCTCTACATTGAGCCTGATCGAAAGCCAGTCGGCCCTGAGTGTGAAACAGGAGTGGTCTCATGGCTACAGGGCCCTACCTTCGCTCTCCTCCAACCATGGCTCCCACAATGGCGTCGATCTAGGCGACCTCCTTAGCCTTCCTCCTGGGACGTCCATGTCCAGCAATAGTGTCTCTAACTCATTGCCATCCTACCTTTTCAGCATGGAAAATAGCCACTCTCCCTACCCTAGCCCCCGGCACTCATCCACCAGGTCCCACTCTACACGCTCAAAGAAGAGAGCACTGTCCCTGTCCCCGCTCTCGGATGGCATCGGCATAGACTTCAACACTATCATCCGCACCTCGCCCACATCCTTGGTCGCCTACATCAACGGGTCAAGGGCTTCCCCGGCCAACATGTCTCCACAGCCGGAAGTCTATGGGCATTTCCTGGGAGTGCGCGGCAGCTGCATTCCCCAGCCGTGCCCGGTGTCGAGCGGCCAGAAAGGTGTGCTGGTAGCCAGCAGCAGCCTGGCACTGCCGACCTATGGCGAGGACGGCGGGCTGGAGTATGAGCGCATGCAGCAGCTGGAGCATGGCAGCCTGCAGCCCAACCTGGTCAACAACATGGTGGTGCAGCACGGGCTGCCAGACCCTGATGGCCAGCCTGCCAGCATGCTCAAGACCGAGCGCCTGGAGGAGTTCCCAGGCAGCGCCATGGACCTGCCCACCGCGCCCCCTCTACCTCCTTTGCCACCACCCCAAGGCCCCCCGCCTCCCTATCATGCCCATTCACACCTTCACCACCCAGAGCTCGTGCCCCACACCCTGCCCCAGGCTGCCCTGGACGACGAAGGTGAGCTGGAAGACATCGGGGGCAAGCATTGCTGCCGCTGGATAGACTGCAGCGCCTTGTATGACCAGCAGGAGGAACTCGTGAGGCACATCGAGAAAGTCCACATAGACCAGCGCAAAGGGGAAGACTTCACTTGCTTCTGGGCCGGCTGTCCTCGAAGGTACAAGCCGTTCAATGCCCGCTACAAACTGCTGATCCACATGAGAGTCCACTCTGGGGAGAAACCCAACAAGTGTACGGTGAGTTTCTGCAGCCCACTAGGCTTTCTTGAGGGCCTTTTTGCTTTTCGCGCATGCGTTTTTCCAAACTCAGCCCACAGGTGAGGAGATGTTCTCGTCTTCTGTGGAATTTGGATGCATGGTGGCTCATGTATTTCAGACATTGTACTCAGCTTTAGCTCGAGGAAGGAGAAGGTTTCTTTCCTGGTTAGTGGCTGCCATATCTCTTCATTTCTAAGTTCTCTTTTGCAAAGATAAATGATCAGTCGCAGCAGGGAAGGTCCATCTGCCATCCTGTCCAAAACCTTGGAAGATGCCTACCAGGCACATACGTGGGAGCTTCCTTCATATCGTGGATATGCAAGAGCAGAGGAACACATATCATACTACCAGCACACCACAGCTCTTTTCCAAAGCAAATATTCTGTGATTTTTATTTCCTTCCTTCCAATACTTGGTGAAAATTGGGACTGGGGGAGGGGGTGGTTCTGATGTTTGGAAAGGAACTCGCCACTTAGCAACTTGGCTAGTAAAATGTTGCTGCATGCACCCACATTCCTGCACACTGTACTTTCCAGGGTTGTGAGACTAGTTAATGATTTATAGATAGCATAAAAACACCCAGGGGATT